GCCAACACCGGCCCCGGTGCGGTCAGCGCGCACCCACAGACACGCACCGCACGGCCGCCCCGCCGCGCAGCCAACCCCCCGACGGCGCAGCGTCCCGGCTGTCAGGGAGCCTTAAGCCCCAGGTGCGGGGATCGGGAGTTTCTTGTCTCCGGCCGGTCTGGGGTAGCGGCCCTTGCGAACTGCGGGGAGCTGAGGGGCTGCGTGCTTCCTGGACCACCTGTCTTTGGTAAGTGTGGTGTGCAGCAGCAAGGACAGAGAGGTCGTGTTGGAGCAGGTGAGGTCGGAAGATGCAACTTCCGCAGGGAGCTCTAGGAGCTCATACTACCTTTGGTTGCTGGAGCGGACAGCGGCGATGTGTGAAGTTCGGCTGTCCGCTGCCTGTCTCTCAAGCTTGAACGCAGCTGGCAGGAGGGTTCTCAGGATCCTGTAATAAGCAGGACCCTGTTGAGACCGGACAGAGCCGTAGCGCTGCAGCGCGGGGCATTTCCCTGGGACGGTTCCTCCCGCATCCTTCGCTGCAGGAGACGCGCTCCTGCCTGCGGCGGACTAGCGGAGTTCCCCGCAAGCTGCGCCGGGAGGGAAGGGGGCAGAGAGGGAGGCGTCCGTCGTGGCTAAACTGGGCCTCGCTCGGGTCGTGCGCAAGAGACCCGAGGGGATGGTAAGGGAAAGACGACATGCCAGGCGGGCTCTGCCGCGATTTCCCGACTGGCACGCATCTCGGCAGGGTGCAGGCGGGCACCTCGGCAGCCGGGCGTGCTGCGGCTGCCGTTCCGCCGCGGGGGCTGGAGGTCTGACCCCTCTCTTGCAGCTGTGCCGCCGAGGAGCTATGGCTGAGGAACGCGCTGGCGCCGACTGGGAGATCGACGTGGAGAGCCTGGAAGGGGAGCCGGACGGGGCACCCAGCGCTCCGCGCGGCAGCACCGGCCCAGAGGAGGAAGAAGAAGAGGAGGAAGGCGAGGAGGCAGCGGCGGCCCCGCGGCGGGGCGAACCGCGGAAGCTGAGCCGCACGCCCAAGTGCGCCCGGTGCCGCAACCACGGCGTGGTGTCGTGCCTGAAGGGACACAAGCGGTTCTGCCGCTGGCGCGACTGCCAGTGTGCCAATTGCCTGCTGGTGGTGGAGCGGCAGCGCGTCATGGCCGCCCAGGTGGCGCTCCGGCGGCAGCAGGCCACCGAGGTGAGGGGCACGGGACGCGGCGGGACGGGACGGGACGGGCGGCCCCGGTCTGACCGCGCCCTCCGATCGCTCTCCTAGGACAAGAAGGGGCTGACGGGGAAGCAGGCAAGTCTGGAGCGCAAAGCCGTCTACCAGAGGCACGTCCGAGCGCCCAGCCTCTTGGCGAAGAGCATCCTGGAAGGTAAGAGCATCCCCTGCCCCTCCACGGCTTCCCTCGGCCCCGCAGCACGGCTGGCAGGGGGGAAACCCCGCTGTGCCCCAGGAAGACCCGCACCTCCCGTTCGAGGCGTGAAATGCAGCGTCCTTTCCCGAATTAGGCGTTAAAGCGCGCCCCGCTACCAGCGCCGGGCGACGGAGGCTCCTGCCTTTCGAGGTGGGAGTCGATGCGGCAGAATTTCAGTTCCTTGCCCCCTCTGCCCAGAATAATGCCTGAAATGCTAGCAACGGTAGTTTGAAATTTGAGAGTTACTGTTACAAGCTGGCAGTCTTTTTATATGGTTCCCCAGCAGCGTTCTGCAGCGCAGGGTAATTTATTCACAGCGCACTTTATTCGCTGGCATTTTAATCAGCAAAAGAGTAAAGAGATTAATTTTTTCTTTTTATCTGAATGCCTAACACAGCAGTACTGTTTGCGACATTATCAATTATAAGATCTGAAAAATAAGGTGCTTGATTTTTTCACTGTCGAAAATATTAACCGTAGAAGAATTATCTTTTAAAGATTGTTATTTCAGTGAAAGGGTGTATTTCTTTCCTCGGTCCCGTTTGGGACTGTGCACACATTTATTCCTATGTTTGGTTTAATTACTTTCCATACCATATCCCTATAAATAATTGTACTTCTCAATTCAATTTTTTTTTCTGAAGTCGAAAGCTCTTTTCTTTGTCTGTTCAAACTCAATTAATATTTAATCCTTTTAAAAACCTCTAATTTATGTCTACAGTTCTTTTTTAAAAAAATTTTCTGTATTCTTTCCTCTAATTTATTATAACTATCTTTTTCTTTTCTCCTAGTTCTCCTTGGGATTTTCTACCATCTCTAGCAATGTGTACATAGTGATTCATCTTTAGAAAATAGAAAAGACACCAGCTGTAGATATAGGTATCTTCCTTGGAAAAGGGGAAACGTGTATGAGAGGAATGGGGGTGAAAACAGGTAAAATCCTGTTCTCCTAACTCATGTAAATACTTCCATTAATTCAATGGAATTACTTGTCTGGGTAGAGCAAACAGGATTGGATCCTATGCATTATATTAAATTAAGCCAGGTAGCTTGGTAATTGAATGCACTGGACACGGAATTTCTATGGTTTATTGAAGTTCTAGTTCATAAGAAATAAAATATTTGAATGCTTTCCATATGTGTTAAAAGTGAATGGGTATCTCTCTCCTTAAGCCTCATTGATGGAATACCAATCCTAATACACAATAGGGATTTGCCTTTTTTTTTTTTTTTCTTTTCTCCCTCCTCAATCTGTTTGTCTGGAATTGCTTTTTTAAAAACTACTAATCAGCTAGCTTTGATGGATACTAAACATGTCAAAAAAGAAGGGCTTGCTTATCTGCACTGAGGAACTGACTGTGCCTGATCACTAAGCCTCTGTGTCATGGTGACTTCTGTAGGAGCTGATGGTGACCAGGGTCTGTGGCAAGCGCACAGTGCTTGGTGGGACTGGCTCATGAAGCTGTTTTACAAACACAACTTTAATGTTTCAGTGGCCTAATTCCTAATGCTGCTTTGTTGTTTTAGGTTACCGTCCTATTCCAACAGACTCTTACCTGGGAGGGAATTCACCCTTGCCACCTCCTGTAAGTGACAGGATGAGAAAGAGACGGGCTTTTGCTGATAAGGAGTTGGAGAACATTATGTTAGAGAGGGAGTATAAAGAGAGAGATATGATGGAAGCTACACAAGCAGCTGCCCTTTTTCTCCCTAACCGTATGGTGCGTGGAGCTGAATACAATTCGTATAAAACAGCCTTCAACACTACTCAAGCTGATAATCCCAATAAGGAATTTTCCGATTTTTTACCAACCTGCCTTGACCTAACAATGCAGTATTCAGGACCTAGCAACATGGAACTAATTTCTTCTAATGTCAGTGTAGCTACTACCTACAGGCAGTATCCCCTGCCTTCTAGGTTCTTAGTGTGGCCAAAATGTGGCCCCATTAGTGATGCTCTCCTCTACCAGCAATGCCTTTTAAATGCTACTGCTGTCCAAGCTCTCAAACCTGGGACAGGTTGGGATGCCAGGGTCTCACAAAGTCAGGACTGTCCAAACACTGAGCATGACCTTATGCCTCCAAAAATGGAAAATTCATTCGTTCTGACTCACACGCGAGACATTCAGCAGTCACGTAATGAAATACTGTGCCTTCATCAGGAAACTCGTGAGAGGTCAGCTTTCTCTCCTCCAAAAAGGACTTTCTCCCAGATTTCTGATAAGGGTTCTCTGACTCCTCAGGAGCAGGCATTAAGCAAGATCAGCAAAAACAGTTCCAAACCCCCTCCACCTCTCAAGTACAGTGCATTTCAGTCACTGTTCCATCAGACATTTCCTGACACTCCAACAGCAGAGTTAAGAATGTCATTTGTGAAGGAGACTTTTGAAGATACTTCTAAGAAATTCAGGGAGTGTACTCTTAAAGAGAATCAAAAATACAAGTTTACTGTAGACAAATCCACAAAAGACTTCTTTGGGGCAAAACAGGCCACAACAAAATTTTCAACAACTGAGCCACTGTCATTTTCAGTTGAATCCATCCTTAAACGACCTTCTTCTGCTGCTACTAATGTCTCTGAATGAATGAACTTTACCTTCAGAGTAGAGAAGCTTTCTAAGCTTTGCTTTCTGCAGAATTGCTCCTGCCTGTAATTTTAAAGATTTTTAAAGAGGATTTTCTGCAGTAAATGGTAATGATTTCTTTTATTTCAAAATGATGTACATAAATATGCATGTTTTCTGAAAACAAATTTAATTTTTTAAAATTGAAACTGCATGTACAGATTGTAAAGTGTTTTTATTTTAAGCAGCCCTTCAAACCATTCAATAAAATGAGTTTACTTACAAACATAGACTGATCTCTGTCATGTCTCTAGCACCTTGCAGGCAAGTATGCCCTACTTTCAAATGCACTTTTTGTTTTATCTGCCATTATAAATGTACTTAGTACTTAAGTTGCTGGGGTAAGCAGTCATTTCTCCTTTGAACCTCCAGCAGTTATGAGAAGAGGTAACAACAGTTCATGTAGGCTAGTGTGAATTCACAATACTTCTTATTTATGTAAGTGAGGTTTGGATCAGATTCCATATGCCTTTCTTATTCTGAAGGGGGAGTGCAGGCCAGCACAAAAGACTAGTCTATTCCACACCTCTCTATAAAACTTCAGTTACTAAAGCGGGAGAGTTACTAGATTGATTTTCAGGGGAATAGTTTCAGGGAGCCTTTGATAAAAAGTCAGCATTTTTTGAAGTTCAGTTTTTAAATAAAAGTTTGCTTTTTAGAATCAGTTTTTATATTTTTTAATGTTCAATTCACTTTACTTCAAATTTCTACCCCCTTGAATACTTCCTTCTGAGAACATTTCACTTTTGACCAGCAAAAGCCTGAAATGATTGTTTTTTGTAGTTAAAACATAATTGTAATTTGTCATTGAAATTATCCCCAAGCTGTAAAAATGGCACATAGACTCATTATGCTAACGAGAAATCAAATAATGGTCTCTCAGTTTTTTAATCCCATGTCAGTGTGTAGGGGTAGAAAATAAAGATAGAAATAAAAGAGAATATCCAACAGAAATTACCTGAGAACTGAAATTGCCTCAGGGTTATGGGAAAAAGGCTTTGCTAGATCTCATTTTGACAGAGGTTGAAGCTTTCTAAATTGGTGACTTTGTAAGTCACCTATATATTGCTGCCAGCACATCTCATAGTGTTAACAGGCAATCCATTAGTTACTTTCCCTTCTTAACATATTAATCCTGCGCACAGTGCTTATCCAGTTGAAAGGAGTTGTTTGTTCTTAATTTTCATGGTCTTCTAAGGATAATTTCTGCTTGGTATTTGTGAGCAGAATGTAATTTTTTCGAATTTTATTACACTCTCTGCACAGGTTAAGTGCTTGTTTTGCCTGTGAATTCCAGATTCTGTAACTAAGTAGTCTCTCTAAGTGTTTAGTGTTACTGTTGGGAGTGGTGTTGCAGAACACCAGGACCCTTTTGGTGTACCGGAGGAATCATCTGTCCAGAGTGCTTTTCTAAGCCAGTTTGTTAAAGCAACAGACAGGTTAGAGAAAACATAATTTACATAATGTGTGCATTTTTACATAACACATCTTACATAGCTCATCAAAATTTTGTCAGGAATGTAAAAAAAGTTGTAATTTAAAAGCACCTTGGGCACTGGCTAAAGTTTCATTTTTCAAATGAAATATTTCCTTATGGAAAAGTAGGTTTCAAATACAGTGAGAGACTTCTAATTTTTTCAAAGTCTGTCCTTTATCCAGTTGCCATTAGAGGGAGTTTTAACTTGCTTGAGCTGAATCTGTTTGTGAATCTGTTTAGCAGTCAGATCAAGTTAAACAGCTTTTATCTGCAATAAATGGAGAGATATTCCTCATAATTCATATTTGTTTTCTTTCACCACTGTTTCCTTCTTTGGCTTTGTTGAACATTAAATGTTAGAAAGGAGTTTTACTTAAGCAGGACTTCCTTTGTTTTGAAAAATATGATTTGTTTTGGTTTTTGAGCTGCTGGTATAAACTAGGATCACAGATGAAAGAAAGTTCAACAATCTACATACTGAACCAATATCAGATACTGGAATTAGTCCCACATAAATATTTTTTCTGCCTGACAATTTGTGCATCTAACGTTAGTTTTACATCTGAAATATTTTTCCAGGCAATCACTTGTCTTTATTCACCTCCTAATAAAAAAGACCAGAAAGCAAAAGCCCTCTGACAGACTGGTACCTCTTCACCCTTTTAAGAAAAAAACCAAACTGAAAAAATTCAAACCCTGAACATATACTAGGCATTTGTATTTATAAGTGTATATTAATATTTGTATGTACACACATATAATGGTTTAACCCCAGATGGCAAGTATACACCACGCAGCTGCTTTCTCCCCCACTCTCTCAACAGTGGAGAGAAGAATCAGAAAAAAGCCTGCAAAACTTGGGTTGAGATAAGAATAATTTAATAGTTGAAACAAAATAAAATAACAGTAACAACACCAACTACTATTCTGTAATAGTTGTAATGTCACAGCAATGAAAAGGAGAGAGGCAGAAGAATAAAACTGAAGAGGGACAAATGATGCAGACTACAATTGCTTAGCACCCACTGACTGATACGCAGCCCACCCCCCAGCAAAAATCAGCCACTGGGCATGGCATTCTGTGGTGTGGAATGGCCCTTTGGCAGTGTGGGTCAGCCACCCAGGCCATGTGCCCTGACAGATTCTGGTGTGTCTGCTCCGTGCCAGAGCATGAGACACTGAAAAGTCCTTGACTTTGGGGAAGAACTACTGAGCAAAAACTAAAACATTGGTGTGTTATCAACATTATTCTCATACTAAAATCAAAACAGAACACTGTACCAGCTACTGAGAAGAAAATTAACTCTATCCCCCACACAAACCTGGCACAGTACATTGTTATGTATATGTATACATGTCTCAGAATTTTTACTCAAATCCTGGTCATCAGGAGATGAGTGACATTTCTACTACTATTTGAAAAAATTGAGATGAGACTTGGACAAATTGCTTTGATAACAAACAAGTGTCACTGGAGTCAGCATTTCTTACAGTCACTTGCTCGTGTCTTGCTACAGTTCCATTATATTACCCTGTACTTTTTTTCCTTTTCTTTCCTAGACCCTGAGCTCTACTCATTCATCTTGAAAGCTTGTTGCATCCCCAAGTTTTTTTCCTTTTCTTTATTAAAATGTGTATAAAGTCTATTTGTCATGGGGAGGACGGTTAGAAGCTTGAGCGAGAAAGCATATACTTAGCATGTGATTTTCCTCACACAGTTTTACACTGGTTGTATAGCACTCTTTAAGCCATAAGCTTCTCTAGAGCAGAAGTAGCCAAGTGTCTACATCTGCTGATGCAGCTGTGAAAATTCATGGAAAAGAGGAGAAGGCATTGCTCTGAAATTGTCTAGCACTTACTGTAAGCCACTGTCTTGCTGGCAGTAAGTCAGCTGGTAAAATATCTTATGGTCCCCTATACTCTGCTTCTTCAATACAATTTCTGTGGCATTTTTGGGTATGTGGATGCCTGTATCTCCTGTACAGTTCAACTGGTTTGAGTACACAATTCACATTTGTGCTGTAGTTATTGGTGTCAGGCTACATTTCTCTTCTTATGCCCTTCTGGCTCCTACTTCACATCTTTTTTTCATGTGATGGTACAACATACCTCTTGGGAAGTTCCACTTTTGGGGTTTGGACAGGAGGCCAAGATCCTCTGCTGGCTGTGGAGCACAAAAGAGCTGTGGGAAGTACAATTATTCACTAGGTCTCCAAAAAATATGCCTGGGAGATGGCATAATCAGAGTCAACCCACTACTTGTTGGAAGTATGGGCCCTCTACACGCATGCTGAGACAAATTTTTTATATGTGTGTAGAGGTGTACAAATGTAGACAACTAGAGAAATTCAGAATTAGTAGCACCTCAGGCAGTACCTGGCTTATTGCCTGGACTTACTCCCCTGGCCAGGGGAAAGCTGCCTCTTTTTGCCCTGGCATCTTTTGTATAAA